ATTGGCCTATTTTAGCAATATAGAATGTTTATTCGAAGATTAATACTAATATTTCACTATTTAAAACAATACATAAGTTGATTGATACAGCCCATTTATTAGATTTGTTTGTAAATGGACTCTTGATTTGTGTGAAAATTTTTTTGATTGTTTTTAATGTTTTTCGATTTTGGTTGTGTTTGTTTGCCTAAGTAAAACCTTAAAAACTTCGACATACTGAATTATTTGAATTAATATGGTTTAAACGAATTCAAATTAAATAATAGAGACAAATAATAGGTAATGTTATATATTCCGTCACGAGTACTTAATACAAATAAAAGCTTATTTTTTACATATACTATTTTAAAAATAAATATGTATATTATTTATTGATTAAACTCTTCGGACATAATAAATTATTTATTTAGTTTTATTTATTATTATTTAAACACCAGTGTTTTTTTGATGCAATGTAGAAAATTATCGAGGAGAATGTGACCAGAGGCAAATAAAAACTAAAAAATAACAAGTAAATTTAATTAATTAATTTATATTAAATTAATTATCAGTAATTTAATTCTTATTGGAAATTAATTAACTAATTAAATACTAATTATTTTAAAACTTGAAAGAGTTTCTGTTAGTCGTTGACAACTGATAAGTATGGCTTTCAAATTTCAATTAATTTAATTTTCACCTAAATATATAAACATATTATTATTATTATTATTATTATTATCTATAATAAAATAAAATACAATTATGTAATTAAATCTGATAATCAATAATTATTTATAATTCAAGTTAGCTATGTATCAAATATGTATAAATATTATAAGTCACCCGCTCAAAAATTGGGTTTATTATTTTTTATTACTTAAAAAGTAATTATATTTTCCTAAGTTAGTGTTATTTATTTTTAAACCTAGTATTTACCGATAAGATAAGCAAAATCGTAGTATATTTAAGATTTTGAAGATTGAATCATATATCAGGTATATTTAAAAATATTAAAAAAAATTCGTAACCAAATTTAAGCATTGGCTTTATATAGTCAACAAGATTACTAAATAATTATTTATTGGAATTTAGAAAATAACAAGTTTTAACTTTCTTTGTCACATAAAAAGCATAACTGAAATAATTATAAATATAATTGAATTCTCGTAAATTGCACTAAAGACTTTCTTCATTTCATACTCAAAAATATTAATAACATTTTACAAAATATGTTTTCTATTGTATTTAAATTACAATTTAAATCGCAACTTAAATAATTAGTTATAAAAGCTGTCGGAAACATTTTTTTAGTTGCCAAAACTCAAAACCGTGTCTTTTATTTGTTAATATATAGTATGAGGTAAGTCGTTTTTTACGATTTTCTTGAAGACTACTAAAAACTTCCAAAAATAAACCGTTTAAATTATTTCCAGCGTTGGATTTCTAAATTGAATGACATAGTTTTGAACATCCGAAAAGTATTTACGAAAAAAAAGGATACGTCATTGTAAATACAATTATAAACATAAAATCAATATTAAAAATGCAAATACGTTTTAAATAAATGCGTATAATAAAAATGTTAATTCGTATAAATGTACACTGTATACTTGTATTACAACAATTAATATATATTGAAATTATGTCTTAGCTCATATTTCATCTACCTATTCATTATTGTTTTGTTATTTATTTTTTAGATTCAGTAGAGCGAACTTAATGGTTATGTCTGGCTTATTTAATTCAATTTATTAACCAAATGTATATTATAATGTTTCAATGGTTTTTACTGTGCCACAGATGTATTATTAGATTTATTTTTATTTTTTAGAGATACATTTGGGATAAGAAGAAAAATTGCACATTTAAGTCAAAAATAAAATAAATTGAGTCAAGCATATAGGTATAACCAGTATTAAATTTGAAATTTAAAACATATATTTTTTAAGCAGTCCATTCTAGACATTAATTTTTCAAAATGGATAGTATAGATCGTAGGTATTTTCATATCTCACGTTTTAATATAAATGAATAAATATCATTTTATTGCAGAATTTGATTATTTTTATTTTCCATATAAAAAGACACAATATTTTTAAAAGATGAATCACGAATATAATAAGCTTCACATTTTAAACTGTAAGTTAGTTAGCAATTAAAGCTCGATGGGTTTTAAATATATTTTACTTTAAATTAAATTAGATATTAAAATTACTAATTAGAATTAGTTATGCAATTCATAGATTTTTAGGCTCGGGATACCAATGAGGCACTGACGATGACATAAAGATAATTATAGGTTTAGAGGTAAAATTGAAGTAATTTTTTTAATTTGTAAGTTAATAATATTCAACTTGACAATTGATACACGTACATTTTGATTATATTTTATAGTTACGCTTAAGCATATCGAGTATAAGACTATAAGTTAATTTCATTCTTTAAAATGTTGATACTACATTTTAGCACGTGACTGAAAGCGTGTTTAGTAAATCGCATAAATATATGATAAATATTATGTAATGAGTTTATTTTTGTATAGTGATATTAAAATAGTCATAGGTATCTAGTATTTATATTTTGTTACGAGTCTTATTATTGTTTTATATTTAAATATGTTTATGTTAGATTACAATTTGACGCAGTAGGTTTTTAATAAAACAAATAAGTTAGGTAGATACTAGATAAGTAAATGTGAATATTTTTTGAATCACAAAAAATGAGTTATACTTTATAATATAGTAAGAACTTATATAAAATTATTAGCGACTATCTATAACTCTCAATAAATTACGAATATACATAATAAATATGTGATAATAATGTAATTGTGTTAAAATGTCAAAGTATAACTGTTAATTTTTACTAGACACTAGACACTATGTAAATAAATATAAAAATAAGTTTATACAATTTAATTGGGATATTATGCTATTTTTAATTTATAAGTTATACAAATATCTATTTAATATCTACGTACTTTATATTAAAATAATAAGTTTAACTTCAAACACAAAAGTAGTTTATCAGAGATGATATTAATTGAATTATTTTAGCATGCTTAATTGTTTGTAACTCTTATTTTTTTTTTTTTTTTGTTTTTGGTTAAATGAGCCGTATAAAAATTTTAACTGACAGTGATTTTTTAAGGTATGAGTTTAAATAAGTTCGAAAAACTTTAGTTTTTACCTCGACATTGAAAAGTTATTTTTGTAGTTGAAACTATTCCAAAGCCACTGTCTGATTTGCCAAATTTGCTCTTAGGTAAATTAGATATCAACAGTGGTTTTGAATCAACTGAGTGTTCATTAAAATTTGCAAAAAAATTATTCGTAAATCCAATAAATTAATCAATTCAATAATTGTAATTGCAATTCACAATAATATTGTATTTACTTGTTTCGTTCATATCAATTAAGTACCTATACACGTCCGACAAACGATCGGCGGTTGAGAATATTAAATACATGTTAAAATAATAATATGAGTCAAGGGATTTATTTAAGAAACGACCGGTCACAAGCCAAAGAGATCTTGGTGAGGATATCTACCTACATAGACCATATATGGTGCGTGTGGATTTGTCCGGTAACGGCGGTAACCAAACAACGACTATTTTAGGATTAGTGTACCAGCCACCAGGCGCAACCAGTTAATGTGACACATTATTATTGCATTTAATTTGATTTTTAACCTTCGCACGTTTATAATAAATAATAGCTACATTCAATTGATATACATGTATTAAATTTTTAAGATAGATACCTATATATTATAATAAATAATAATTTGAAGTTAACAAAACAAAATACTGTTTTTAATAGTTTATTATTATTTTTTTAGTTAATAAATACTAAAAAATACATGGACTATGTTATTTTTTTCACATTAGATAAAACATTTACATTTGTAATGTTTGATTTACTTTATATATAGACTCAGTCATCTTAATATTATTATACACATATTACATACCAATAGCACACATTCCAAATGATAATATGAAAGCCGGAAAGTGTAACGTGTAAAATATTTTAATACATAACTTTTTGTTTGTTCACTTTGTATATTATATCTCTAATTATAGATAAAATCTAAATTATTATTATTATTATTATTATTTAAAACGCAACACATTTATAATATCTGCAAGGTCGGTCGAGATAAACATTTACGTTAATCATTCAAAAACACTTGATAAGCAATGATTATAAATTATATGAGATAAATTAATTAACGTTGGTATCTGTTTTTATTGTTAATGGTATCTACGTTTCGTTGTATGAGAGATAATAATAATATAACATTAAATTTACCAGGATTGCTATTATAAATATTTTGCTATATAGGTATTAAGGTATATATTATAATAAATTGAGGTGCAGAGTTACGTATAAATTGTTTCAAATTCACTTATCTATGAGATACCTAATACCTCTTAGATATATTAATTCATAATTATATAATATTATTTAATTTTACTAAATAATTTAAACAGTAATTTATCTTATAAAAATGAATTATGTTTATTAACGTAATAAGTACCTACTCTGAATTTGGTATTGAACTTCATGTATAATAATATATATTTTCTTTATCGATTATTATACAATTCTAATAATATTACAAAAACTTTACCTCCCATTTACAATAGATAGGTTAACCTATATAGGTTTTAATTATAACAAGTTAGTCAATTTCAGAAATGAATTATAATTTTAGCAATTTTTAATTTTATTTGTACGAATTTACATTTTGTTAATTTAATGTTACATTTTAATAGTTCAACAATTAGAGTAGTTCAAAAAATAGATACACTTCACTGCAATGAATAAACAAAAAAAAATAAATAATAATAAATTAACGAAAACTACTGAAAATCATTTATAAATTATAATATCTATAATAACATGAACTTTATATTTACTATTTAGTCATAACAGAAATAATTTTGAATTTGAATATATTTATGCAAAGTTGATATAAATAATTAACTATAATATATATATTGTATAATATTTAAATTTATCCTATTGCGTATAATCTAAAAACTAAAACTTTTACACTATACTTAATCCTCCATTTTTCCTGTATAAATATAATTTGTATCCCAAAACAATAACAATTTAATTCAATCTAAATTCAATGTCTTGAAAGAACCTTCAACGCCGAAATAGTCACTTTCTGTCTTTGGTTTACCTGGACGTTTTTGTTCATCCACTCTGTAATTTTCTTCTTCTAAGAACCATTTTTTCATTTCTTTAATTTTTTCAAATGTATCATCTAATTTCATATTAAAGACCATTTAATATAGAAATAAATGTTGATATCTACATACTTAAAACGTTTTATATTTTTATGAAATCAATAAATTATTGACTCACCGTTTATATTTTTCAAAGGTTGTCCACTTCCTCCAATTTCGATTGGCATTATTTCTTTAGGTATATATTTAAATATCGACTCAGGATCTGTAGTTGAATGGTAGTACAGCTTAAATAATAAAACATAATTGTTTAAATGTACTATAAAATATATTTTTCACATTATAACATTGAATATTGTAAATAATTACTTTCTCGGTTAATTCTTTTTTCATAAAAGGTTTCGTCATACTGGTTATCATATCAATAAACGGAGCTGTATTTATTGTGTGGATAGCTTTTAGACGAGCCGGCAATCCATCCTAAAATTAAAATTAATATTAAGTAGCAAATCAAAATTCAAAATAATTCTTCTAATATATCCATACTTGTAAGAAATACACGTATTTTTTCATCATATTGATACCTAAACGACCGACGTGACTAAGACTAAAACCTTTCATGTCATAAATAATTATAAGTCCATTGAAAGTTCCTGAAGTCATTAATAACATATCGATCACCATGCTGAGTGCTTTAATGAAATCAGCTAAAACAAACAATTCTGCCTCTACGCGTTTAGCGTATATAAATATAACTTTGCAATCATCTGGAGTTGATTCCGGCAATGCACAAAACGATCTAAGGAGTAATATACTTCTGAGTAAACAAACATTGGTTTATTCTTTATTATATAAATTTTTTTTTACATAGTTTTAAATGCTTCCAACACAGATTTTACATCGGTATCTCGCTTTGTAAATAATTCGGGCGAGTGAGTGCGAAGAGTGAAATACGACTCAATGGTTACTTTAGTCGGTTCCAATCGATAAAAACAGCTATGAAAAAATAGCACAAGTAGTTCATCTGTAATTTTTTTTAAAAATTTTTTTAATATTTCAAACGAATTAAAAATTAAAATGTATAATACACAATAAATTAGAAAAAGCTATAAGGATACTTTTTAATAGGTGTAGATTATATTTGCATAATATGTTATAATAAAAGCAATAAAAGTCTTTTGATAAATAAAAAATGTGTTTGGCACGATCACGCGGAATATACAACATTATTATAGAATTATAATATTAACATCGTACTTGTCTTGCTCACCTCATGTATGCAAGATAATTCTTTTGATATAATTATTAGTAATAAATAATTTATTATATATTTAATAGCTTATAAAACAGGTTTATATTTTTAAATCTGAAATTTATAAAATATATAAAAGTAAAAAATGAATGTTATTTTTCTAAGCAATGATCTTTTAACCTTAATACGTACTAATAGATTTATATAATTATCAACTAAATAAAGAACTGTAGATACAGTTGTATAATTTTTTGGAATATTTAAACTTTTAAATAATAATAATATGTGATAATAATTAGTAATGACACACTGGCATATTTAAATACATATTGAATAAATAAATACATAAATAGCACACGAGTAGGTAACATGGATATGCATATAGGTACTGAATCTTTAAGTTTGAAATTAAATGATAAAATGATAAAATTTAAGTTACTAATAATTCATAGTTATCTTAAGAATTAATAATAACAGATGAGTGATAACAATTAAATATTTTTATCATCAATGACTACTACTGTGTTTTAGATTATTGAACACATATATAATATTATATAATACATTATTAATTTTTTTGACATGTGATTTTTAAGTTGAGGAAAATTATTAAATATTTTTAGTATTATATAAAAAATTATTTTTTAATTGAAAACATTTTTTCGGACACCAATATAAATAAAATAAATACATAATGCATTTTAGATTTTTATGCTACTATAAAATAAGGACTTACCAGTAACGAGTGGAAGGTGTGGTTGTTTGGATATCCATTCTCTGAGATGATTTAAATCTTCTTCATTAAGTTCTGGGTTTTTTTTAAATTCATCCTGAACGTTAAAAAAGTTCATATTTAAGAATTACTAGGTTTATAGGTACTACCAAAACTTTAAAATAAGTACACAATACTACAATAGAACTGAACTATTTTTAAATTACCTTTTCGTTATATATTAAATATGATGGATAGTAATTATAGACAACAATACAAAATATTTACAATTGAATATACGGGAAAAGCCTTGAAAGTTCCATTGCTTGTAACATAGTATACTATTATTATAAATACAGAGAAATCGTATATAATCTAACTTTTATAAAAAAAATAGCTGTATATTAATATATAATGTGATTTATCAAGCATTATTATCATATTTTTCTTCAATAATGCCGTTATTTAAAACCTGATTTTTGGAATTCTTAAATATAATTAAAGTTATATAATTCTTGAGATTTTTTTACTACCTAATAAAGTGTCTTGTGGAAATGCACACTTCTATTCTTCAAATGAGAACACCATTTTCTACTATTTAGTTTTTTTAAAACGTTGACGTAGCCTACGTCATGTAGGTATATCAGAATTAAAATTTGAACAAATAATTTTTGAGTTATTTAACATTATGTACTAAACTACTAAAGTTAATAGTTTCATGATAATGGGTTAGATGATACAAGCTGGATTATGGATACTATGGTAACTTAAATTATTAATTTTTTTTTAAACTTTTATTAATTTATCAATATTTATAATTTTTAAAAACAGATCAAGTAAAATAAATATTAGATTTAATATTACATTTATTTTAAACCACTATTTTACAATTTTATCCTTAGTATAATGATTGAGATACTACTCGCTTGATGCTTGAATTTTGAATTAGACACATAAACATTTTCAAGAAAGTTATCCACTAAATAATTTATAGTTATAAAGGATGGTTCTGGTTTAAAAAAGAGAAAGTTGTATTGTCATAAAACACTTTTAAGTAGTAAAAAAAATTCAAGAAAATACGGTCTCGAGTATATTTAATAATTCCAAAAATCATGATTTGAATAAATTAATAATTAAAGGAAAAAATAAACATGAACATATTTGGCAAATTGCTTTGTATTGTGATCAACATTTTTTTAAAAAAATATTATTTAATATATATATATATATATTATATCTTGTATACATTAATTTTTCTCTGGTATCGTAATATTCATAATATTATATTGCATTATATTATGAATGATGATTACAATCAATAACTTTCAAAATAAAAGTTATTATAAGTTTGTAACTTACAATCAATTTTTCAATTTTTTTTCAAACATAATCTCATATTAATTGTCGAATCTTTTATTTATTATGTATAACTATGCAAATGTAAGGCTTAAAATATATGTTTATATAATATAATAAATATTATATAACTACTTATTTTTTTCTCATAAATTTTAACTTTTTATTACATTATGTAATGTATAATTTTTCATTTTCAATATATTATATTTAAAGAATTCATTAATAACTGTAGTGTTAATATGTTAATATGCTTATTCATATGGACACAAACTAGACAAATTTTGCTTATCCAGTAGGTATTGTATAAGCTATAATACTCTGATTCGAGAGCTCTGCTAGGTACAATAGTTATATTAGGTTAATTAATCTAATAACTTTTAAATTGATATTTTAAAATGAATATTAAAAAATACTAATATATTATTTTTTAATTTTTATTAATTGTATCTAAAATATTAATTTTTACCAGTAAATAGTTTTTACTATTATATTATTATGGATACATTTAATAATTGAATAAGCTCATAAAGAAAAATCGATTGCTCATCCGTTACTATTTAAATTATAGTTAAACCCTATATTTATCGATATAACATGAGTATAATCCATAGTATACGTTATTTAATTTGTATAATACGAGTACTAGACGCGACCTTGCATGTGTGGAAATTATGACTACTATCCACAACTAATTTTACACTGCACTTAATAAATTTGTAAATAGGTACAACATGCACCTACTATTGTACTGTATAAATAAATTATAGGTAGTGGGTGCCTACTATATAATAATTTTAGGACATGAACTAGGTATTATTTTCTACTCATGTAGTCATTTCATAGGAATGAATATACAAGGTATAGTAACATTTAACTTAAACAAAATATAATTTTGTTAGAATTTTTTTAATTTTTATTAATTAATAGCTTTTAAATAAATAATTATATAGTGTGAAAAATGAGTAAATTTGATAACAAAAATATACTATGATATACAAAACAGGTAAAATGGAAACGCTGCAGCATGTAGATAAATAAATATACTTATAAATTACAAGATTCATTTTTTAATTTTGTTACAGTGTTAAATACAAAATACTTTGACTATTAAATATAATTGTATTATATAGTCTCTTGAAGTTCAATATATATTAAAAAGATATTGTATCTACAAACAATTTGTATTTTATAACAAAAAATTCTGTTTTTTAAAATTTTATAAAATAACTTATTTATCGCTTTAATGGCCTGTCATTTAACATATTGAATCTGAATTTAAGTTGTTTCAAATATTTTTAATTTTAGTTCTTTGAATATTGTTAGGTATTGTATTATTTACAACATTGAAAAGTTACTGGAATATACATTTTGTAAAATCTTCGTTACAAAAAATTATTAAATATAATTTATAAATTATATTTTAAGGACATCATACCTGCGTTTGTTGTCACTATTTATTAACATACGACATATCAAATTATCAAATTTGTGTTCAATAGTTTCAATCTTGTGTAGTATAGTTTAATTCTTATTAAAGCAAATTGACTTATTATCGATGTTTAAGGTTTGAATATTACCCATGATTTATCATGGGTTTTTAAATGCTTCTTATAGTATTTTAATTTTTAAGCAAGTAATGAGAATATTTAAATTATAATATTTTACTTACTCATACCTATCTTGCTTAAAGATTTAATGTTGTTTTAGTTTAAATTAAATTACAACAACTGAAAAAGTGATAGGTTAAAAAATATGTTAGAAAAAAAATTTGAACTTTAAAGCATTAACTTAGATTTTGGTTTTCACGTGTTTTTTTACAGTTTGACTTTACGAAGATTAGTAGAAATACCGAAGCTATCAAGCTATGTGGTAATAAACTTTTGTTCTGATCCGTATGAGATAATTGTCAAATAATCAAGCAATATTTTAACTTATTATGAATTAAATACAACTTATTTGTATAAAAGAATATTAATTTGTGTTATCTAATTGTAGGAATTTACATATAAGGAAAAACTTCCTGTTAATGTATTTTATTTTAAATTTATTAATTATGAAACGCTAGATCAAATACCTTTTTATAAAAATTATAGAAAATGTTTAAATAAATAATAATAGGCAAACAAATTACTAATAATTAAACTAGTAGGTAGATGGAAGAGCTTACAGCATTATATTAGAATGTTTCTTGTTGTTTAAAAAATTATTATATTCAAACAATAGGATACTGAAAGAAATTTAATTTTAATAAGAATTAATGGATAAACAAAATTATAGATAGATAATTTTAGCAAGTTACAAAAAAAACTGAATTTTAATTATTTCTATAATAATTTATCAAAATTAATCATGTATTAGTGTTCGGTGTTGTCGGTGTACCATTGGTACTAGACATTAAATAATACTACTACAAGTTCTCCATACATGTTGACATATTTTTATTATTGTACCAAATTGGCTTACAGAGCCATATCAAACTTGAGTCAAGCTTACAACTATTTTATAAAACCACATTTTTTACAATTATAGGTGATTAGGAAAATAGAAGTTTTTATTACGTAATAATTTTACTCGTATAAACCTTAATTATTTGAAAACTTAAATAAAATATTTTCAAACTATACATTCATTTTGAAACATAGATAATATGTGAATCAGTAAAGATATGATTTTTTTTTCAAGTTAACAAGTGATATGTCAACTCGTTTTTAATTTCAGTTATACATAAATTTAAATTTATTGATAAACCACAAAATAATTAAATTATAATACCTATTAATGTTTAATGGGTATTGACAGTTTTTAAGGAGTTCAGTATAGATAACATTTTTAACAATTGTTTTTGAGGTGTATATTTGTACGTATAGTAAGCGAGAAGAGGGCGTAGATTTTTATGTTAATAAGTCAAAATATTTAATAAAACACAGTTTTGTTTAAAATTAATTTTATAAATTATAACAAAAGGAAGTTATTGAAGAAACGTATGGAAAACCAAATGAAAAGGACAGTTAGTTGTTATTGTATCAGACCGTATTTTGATGTTAAAATCGTTACCTATCTAGTATCTTATTTATAATTATGACCATAGACTATCTTAATAAAGCGCGGATTTCTATGCAATTTCATATATTTTTTTCCTTTTCACTTTTTTGGATTTTTGTCAGTTATCTTTACGAATGGCATATTTCGATACTTTTTAATGTATAAAAATCCATGCTTTAGTTTTTATTACAATTAATGAATGATTGGACAAAATGTTTTATAATAATGGTCGTTGTCAATTTTATGTTTTTAATAGGTAAGTGAATACTATATGGTAGTACAAAATATGAAATTCATTATGTTTAGTAATCGCTCTTGTCCACCATCCGGAATACGACGCCATAAAGATGGTAGGAATTTTTAAGCAGCTTTTATTGAAAATATCATACATATCTGCCAGTACACCACCCTTTTCATCATATTATAGGTCTACAGATACTTATCTATGAGGTTGTATAGTCGGTAGACACAAGTTGCGTGAGTCGGTGTGTGACGGTAAGTCTCCTCGCACATTCGCCAACCATCGGACGCTACGGATCCGCTGCTATTATGTATATTGATGATGCACGAAGTACTTTGACGGTTCTTTATGTGTTTGTCAGCTTTCGTTACGAAGTGGTACTATAGCTATAGACGTGTCGATGCGGCTTCCGAATTATGTAATAATGGAGACATAATGAGATAAATGTCGAAAATCAAATAATGAAACAATATTGTATAATTGAATTTAGTAGGTATGACTAATATTATAGTTAATAATTAAATATTTATATATTTTACATGATACATTGAAAAAAAATTAAAACAAACTACATAATGTTATATAAATTTATAACCAGATATTAGCTTTGTATTATGCCCCATAATATTATTAATTTGTGTTAGAAAAAGCTTTCAAAGGTTAATTAAAATTATAAAATAATAAAAATTCAGTGTTTGAGTAATTATTTAACATGTTACCAACGATATAAAAATAAAAAGTATACAAATCAACAGATGAGCTGATAAGAAAGTACACGGAACTAATAATACATAATAGAATATCATTCAATAATCTATTTTTATTAAAACAAATATAATTTCTAAATTTCTAATGCATTTGAAGATTTGTTTAACAATTGTGAACATAATTTATTATTGACAGCAATAATATCACTTTCTTTATAGAGAGGCTACTAGTATTTACATCACAGCCACGTCTATAGGTATACATTATAATATTTAATTATTAAAACCTAGTTCAGAGGAACTAATATTTTTTTTTAAATAAAATTTCAGTAAACACGAATTTATTAAAATTAGAGTAAAGAAATGGGAATTTAGAAAGTTTAATTTAGTATTTAGTCTCGAACAATTTGGTAATAAATAACTAGCGTAAATGGAGTGGATTTTTTTAAGTTTTTTGAAGGAACAATAGTTAATATACCTTTTATATATTTTACACCTATTTCTCTTCTATGAGTTAGTTCTTCACGCAGATTTAACATGAACTCGTATTGTTTAGGTGAACGGTTGGAGGAAAAATGTAGTCTAATTAATTTTGTGATCTGTGGAGTTTATTTAAAAGCGTGGAACCGAAAAAGTGTCAGAGGATGAGAGCGATTGATACTGATTTTCCAAGACTGTGAGTATTGATGATTTGAATATTTAACCCAAATTTTAAAATAAATCTTTTAAGTCGTATTTGAGAGGTTTTTATAATTTACAGAATTATATTCCGGTAAATTAAAAAAAATTAAATTATTTGCTCTTGATTGTCGGTCTTATTATAGTTCATTTAATAGTTCTAGTTCAAAAACTGGGGAACGTGATTTTTGTTTAAATGAAATATAATCTTGTTTAAATAAATCAAAATGACTTTAAATGCGCATTTTTAGCTTCTAATTTTGAAAACTTGGTTTCAAGAATATAAAATTTTGTATTAAAGTTATCCATTTTCACAGTAAATGATTTTAATGTCTTACTTTGATCATAGACTGAATTAAATAATTTAGTTTGTGTTAACTTCAAGTTGTTTATTGAGTTTAAAATGTCATTTAATTTGAAATCTATTATTGGGAAAAAAAAAGAGATTATAATATTATATAACAGTACAAAATAATATGATTAAAATTAAATCAATGTTGATAAACGAAAACATATATGAAAATATTAATTATATATTTTAAGCAGAAAGAGATAAGAGCAATTACGTACTGTACTAGTACACAATACGTCTGAATAGGTTCGATATACAGACATGACATTTTATAGTTGACTTTCTGCTTAGTATATTATTGGTAATTGGTGTTATTAGTTTAAACAGGGGAGTACTGAAGGGTATAAAGACGTAATAATATAAGTTTGCATTATTGACCACTAAACTTGTGAACTAAACTGGTGTTTGTTTACTAATCGGTACGGTGAATGCTTTATATTTGGCATTTCTTAGCTTCATACGACTCAACATTTGATTTAGTCACGATTTGTAACTATTACGTTTTCGTTTTTGATATTGTGTGTTATTTATTGTTTATTAATTATTTTTATACTATTATCTAATCTCGTTACCAAATCAATATGACAGAATCTGAAGATTCGGTTTCTACTGTTTCACCTAATTCCTCGCCAACCGTTCCATCTAAATCGCCGCCTGTAACGAAAGAAGCACCCGTCATCGCTCGCAGACCGATGACCCTGGCTCATCCGTCTAACGCCGTTATGGTGACCGCAGCCATTAAAGCGTTGAATGATAAAAAGGGCTCCACTCTGCATGCGATTAAGAAATACATGACCATACACTACCAAGTCGATACAGTCAAGTCTGCTCCATTTATTCGCAAGTATTTGAAAGCGGCCGTTATCAAGGGTGATTTGATTCAAACTAGTGGCACCGGCGCCAATGGCAACTTTAAACTACCTGTGGAGGTGAAGAAAAAGAAAGTCACCGCCCCGGTTACCAAGAAAAAACCGACCGCTACTAAGAAGGCGGCAGTGACGTCTGGCACTGGCAAACGAAGGTCTACTGAGGAGTTGACGACGACGGCAGTATCGAAAGCTAAGAAATCCAAAAAAGTAAAGACGGCTGTTGTCAAACCGAAATCTAAAACTACCAAGGTTGCTGCTGTAAAAGATTCTTCTACGGCTAAAACAAAAAAGGCAGAATCGGCTGCAATCAAATCAAAAACTTCAAAAGTTGTTGCTAAGAAGACTCCAGCTAAAAAAAAAGTAGCAGCACCCAAAAAGAAATAGACAGATCAAGCCACGTATGATGTAAAATTAATTGGGAACACATAACAATTCATAAAAAGGTCCTTATCAGGACCACCAAATCATCTATTAGTAGTTCAATATCTATTTTTCAACACTAGCAACAGATCTAAGCAAGTGCCACACGTTAGATAATTCTTTAAATCATAAATCCACAAAACTATTTAAATAAGCTATTAATTCTTTATATTCTACATTTAATTCATTAATTTGTTTATTAGTTACGTACTTAGTACTATATTATCAGTCATTACATATATATATGATCATACATGAATACGTGATCAAAAAGAAATGAAATTGTCCAACGATGACAAAATTGAGCCCTCTCTACCACTCAAAAAAAAAAGCGAAGATAGTATCGGCTTCGACTGATCCTAAACGATGCAAACCCTAGATACAAAAGGTGCGATCCGTGGGTAGTTACCGGCTACCACTCGTACTAAAGATGTTGAGTGAGTTTTGTTAAATTTGAATTCATTATTAATTATTATCATTATTCATTACATATAAATAACGATTCCAAGTGAAAAAAAAACTATCAGCTTGTATTATCATTAAGTATTAGAGTATTTTTCATGTTTTTGATATTAATATTAGGTATTGTAATTTATTTTACTATTAGTAAATAGTAATATAGTAGATTAAATTATTTTATTATAAAAAAATTGGATTTAAAGTTACCGTTGTGTAGGTATAAAATATTTTATGTAAGAGTTTGATGTCCACATGAATAATGTTTTTAAACTGCAAAAAAACAATGAATATGGTTGTTAAAATAGTTTATGTATATTTATGTAATTTTGTCCAAATATAACTTGCAATGTTTTTTAAAAAAAAATTATGCTAGGTACCATATATTTTTTAGATTTTTTGTTTCAATAAATAATTTATTATTAATATGGTCTAGTTTTAGTTAAAAATATTGCCCATTTTATAAATTTTCAACAGCAAAAGAATTTTGTAATTTTTACAACTATAAAATAATTATAGATTTATGTTCAATTTTGTCTTAATTTACTATGAGAAAAAATTTAAGAGGACGAATGTATTCAATTTTTATTTTTTAACACAACATATATATTTACATAATCGGATGATTTGTGAGATATTTGAAATTACGTTAACATAACAATCTCTGATAATTTTTTTTAATTACGATTTTAAAAACATATCTATGATTCAATGCTTTTTCACGCAACGAAATAACAAAAGAAGCAGCTCGATATGTTTACTAGCAATTATTATTTTAGAGACTAGTATTTGAATAGTTTTTAGAATTTGTTTTAATCATACTCAATACAATTCATTAGAATTGATGCTTGATATTGTATTTTACATAAATGCATTATAATTTATACGATATAAAATTAAAAACAAAATAATAATTATTCCTTAATATTAAATATGAATAAATTCGATTGTTTTTTTAGCATATTCTAATTTTAAGAGTTTCATCTGTGGCCTGGTCACTGCGACTGGTTTAACTATGTGTAAAAATGTGTTCAACTTTGAATAATCTAAATTTAAAACATGAAAGTTGTACGTTACGGTAATAAATACAAGGATACATTAATATTATGGTACTATATTAAAACAAAAATCAATAATAATTATATCCATAATTATATATCATCATAATAATATATAATTCAGTATACAAAATATTAGATAAGTGATAGTAAGTAAATATTCATGGAACGTCTTAATTTTGTTCACTAACTATAAACAATACAATAAAATTCAAAGAAATAACGAAAAGGTATTTCCATCACAGTTTTAGAAAATTGAGATTATAAAATATAAAATATAAAATATTATCATTATTTTAATAGATTAGATAAAGGTGTAATTATACTATAATAATAGAACATTTTCCTGTCATTTTTAACTATGTTATTATTTTACGATCAATTAGTTGAAATTTTATTTTTAATGTATATAGCTTTTATAATTGCTTTCGCATTTAAAATTTTATTTACTACATTGTTTAAACTATTTGATGATGCTTTAGTTCATTTTCATTTTCAATTGAAGTATAATTTTACAAGTAGATGCAACTATTTTTATCATTTAAGCTTATTGACAAATAATCATTTTGACAGTTGTCACAGTTAAATTTTTCATACATTTATAACCTAAATATCCCAAAGTATGAAACAGAACAATCTTCCAAAGTAACACCATTATTTATATTTTCATTAATAGTATCTCATCAGATGATATAGGAGAGAGAGAGATAAATTAGAAATACTTTCTGTGTCAGAATAAGAAGCCAATGTTGAATTGTTAGAATCTATTTTATTTTGATATTTCACCGGATCAAATATTATAGGATTTTCATCTTCTATGGTTGCCTTTACACTTGTACCTTAGATGTACATAAAGCAAAATACTATTACTTATAGAAGTCCTAATTGTTCTGGCTGTTGATTTTATTATAACCACCTATTTGTTGAAAATACTAAATAGATTTTCTAATATATCCTGATTTATCTATTAGTCATTAAAAATACATGTTATGAGCTTTGTCTTTGAAAACAAAGAGTAACAAGGAGGTTGAGTTAATTTTCCTTTTTAATTTCTTGAAAATTTGTAAAATATTCTGCTTTTTAAGAAATTGTGTACAGTACCTGATTCAGTTAATGCAATATAGATATGATTTTGGCTATATAAAGATCTGCTGGTTAAGAATCTAATAAATGATTGATAACTAATAAAATCTGCAGTATTTAAGTTGAAGTGTTACTTGAAGTTGTCCGCTTGTATACAAGTTCGACTATTAAGCGACATAGACGACTCAATAATTGTGCTGCTAATTAACATTCATTTTGAAAAGAATTTGATAAATATGTGTATTTGTTTTTGACGACATCTACTCTTAGATTTTTATCTAACTCATATGTTTTTATGTCATCAAATGAAATTATAGGCCTATCTTCGAAACATTTATTGATTTTAAAGTACTTTGATTGTTTCCAGCCTTGATCACATACTATAATTTTTGACACAATCCAATCCTCAAATAATTTTTAAGAACATCTTGTATTAGCTTTTTCAATGCTTAAGCATCTAGAATGAGAAAAATATACAATTGAATTTTCACTGAGATAATACCGGCACATAATAATACTAGAACACAGTTGTGACTTTTATTGATCCTTCCATATGACTCAAGTCCTCGAAACTCATAGTATAATCACAAATTCTTTGAATATTTTACAAATTCTTTATACATCTCATCAAACAACAGAGCACACCTTTCTTTATAATCAGATGACTTAAATTTTTAAGATGACTAAAAATAATTATTAAAAATGGTAAAACTTTGATTGACCAATCCAATAAGAAATAGTAGATATCTGTAAATTTACTTTGCAGAACGCGAAGATTATATCGTTTGGAGATTTATAATATAATTTAAAGCTAATTGTTTTTTTAGACTGTCCACGGACGATGCTTATCTCTAATTTATACAGTACTAATCACTATTGCTCAAGGCTTAGAGTTTATAGAAGATCTGCGCAAATTTATGTAAATTTTGAAAATTATAACGAATAGTACTCAAGATTATTTATTTTTAATTTGAATATGAACTATTTTATTATGAATTATTTTGTTTTTGTTGTAATTTGGCTTAATCCACTTTCTAGTATATCTATTTCAACTGAATCAAGTTTTCTTAAATTGCTAGACATGTGTATATATTTGTTATTTTAGCTTTTGTGCTAGAAGAAAAGTAAAGAAAGGGGACTTATGAAAACTAACTACCATATTTGATTTTGAAGTGTATATGTTTTAGTTGGAGCATTGATATAAATAAATTTGTTCAGGCTTATGATTCGCATTAAGTTTAAAGATGCTACATATTGCTACAATGATTTATTATATATATCAATAGGAATAGCAAAAGAGTAGTAAAGTTTTATTTGAAAATTTGAAATTTCAGGTAGAAATGCTCTTTACGAATGTACTCATTATGCAGCTTGGGTTCAATCGAAAATAGCCTGGTTCTGAAGATCAATCAAATATTATTTACCCAAATTTATTATCCAAATCCTTCTTCTCTCGCTTTGAAAACGACAGTCGTAATGAAACAAATTCCCGACTTTAGCACACAATTCACATACGACATTTGCATTATGATCATTTCAGATATTTTATATCTAAAACAATAAAATTGTTTGTATTAAAGATCATCCATGAGATACAGTAAGAGCGGTGTAACTCAAAAATGTCTCACAAACAAGAAACGACTAAAACTAAATGCAAACACTAAACAAACAGCAGTCAATTGGATATTTAAGATATCGGTCATTGATATGCGATAACGAATATGAAATAATATATTCTATTTTTAGAACGACAATTATTGTACCTCGCTCTTCCTCACAGTACTATGGTAGTTGTACCACCACCTAGAATCTGACACTTCGCTTTGCTTTACCCACCATGAGAGGGTACACCACCTTTGCATTTCCCTTCTAACACTGGCGCTATTACCGGTTGCATCATAGAACTAACTACACTAGCGTTTAGCGGTTGCATATCATTTTCTGCACTAGCCCATAGTGGCTGCATCATATAAATGGTCACCAAAATTAACATTATATTGCCTATCTGTCTATTCTATAATCAATGGTATATCAACAAATGATTAATTATGAAATATAATAATGGTCAATAAAATAAAATGGTCGATTGCTTTACTCCATGGATTACTAATTGGCAGAAATTACAAAATTATTCGTATTATAGTGGAACCACACTGG